CATAGCGTTTCAAACGGGTGGTTCGAAGCCCACACTCAGGGTTGCAGGGAACAGCTGGTGGGGGGAGGAGAGAAGGTGACCAAAGGTATTCTTATTAATTTGGTAAAGTAGATTTTAAGATCGATATGGTTTCATTTGCTCTTCAGTTCCCTTTTCCTTCTCTCCTATGGGAAAATTCTTGGCGTGTGCCCTGTACCTATGGGCCATTAAAGTCATTTTTAATCCACATAATAAAAGGCCAAATATTTTCATTTTTTACAGCGTTTTTTTGCGTTAAAAAAGGAAGAAACGGAGCGAAATGCCAGACATCGAATAAATTCAGTGAAAATCAGTAAAAGTCACATCAAAGAAACTCAAGCACTGTCTGCTCATGTTAAACGTTGTTAGAGAATATAATTTTTTCACAGCAACAACAACAACCTGCATTTATGTAGCGCTCTTCCCGGCGGACGGCGTCTCAGAGGGCTTAACCCCAAACAGCTCCTTCACACTCAGATTGCTAGCAACAAATATAAGCAATTCTGCCACTAACACTGTCAAACACCAAGAACGTATCCTGATGTATGGTACCCACAATAATGACGTGGTGAGTTCAGTTGTCCATCACCGCAGGATTCAGAGGTCATCTCTGAGTGCGTGATGTGCATGTCAATCGGCAGAACTGAAATGACAAAACATCCCAGGCGCTAACAAAAAAAAGCCTAAAAAGTCAGAGGAAATTTTTTTTCACCATCTGACTTTCACCAAATCAATCAGGGGGGTTACACCGAAAACAGTAAAAAGTGACTAGATGTTTCCAACTCCAGGCATTCTTGAAGGCTCTCCACATGGAGAATACAGACTCATGCCCTGTTAATGTACCAACCTTCTATTGCACCGGAATACCCTGACTGCACGGTTTAATGTTACATGAGGAAATACTATGAAATAACAGTAATAAAGGATTCCCCAAAACTGGTACAAAACTCCTGCACAAAGTTAAAAACTCTGTTCAAAAATTTCAATATCTCAATACCATCTTCAAAGACCACCGAATAAATGTTTCTAACATAGGGGAAAACATGTATGCTGTGCAGAAACCCATTAAGAATTTTGAATGGGTAGACTCTCTAATAAATTAAGTAGTCCTGGCACCACAATCTACACTCAGCAAACTCACAAATTCAATCCATGTTAGCAAGCTACTTTATTTCATTTGTATTGGTGATAGATCCAGTAAAGTACTGTATTTGTACTCTTTCTTTCAAATTGAATTGCATGCACATAGGCTTTTTAATGTTTTTTATTATTGTTTATTTCTGCGTCACTCCGAAATAGCTTGTAAAGCAGGAAAGAAACAAATGGTAAATGGAAGAAGGAAAGAATGAGTCTGTGTGTTACAACTATGGATAAGGAGTCTAATTCGAGTTGATACTGATAATGGATTGTGATGCCGACCCTGAGCAGATAAATAGTGGCAAACATGTTGGATTTCAGATTGAATCCAACTTTTGCTTTCCGCTATCAGTCGATAAGAACCAAAGACACTTGTGAGCAACAAAAAATGATCTTGTCAACCATCAAGGGTAGAATTAATCATTCCCATACTGTACGATGCCATGAGTCAACTACGCGCCTTTCTATCTACTAAAAATATATTGAATCCTGAATATACAATGAATTAAAACTTTTTTATGACCTCTCCATGCTACTTTAAAATACCGAGCAAGAGATTTTATTTCCAGAAACACTACGAAGGAGTAAGAGAGCTACTCGTTATATCTCGTAGCCAAAGAGTTAAGGCAATTTAGCGTTCCATTCGTTTTTTTCTATTCTATAATATTTGTCATTTAAATAATGACTTCCAGTCGGAAAATAACACAGTTATCCAAAAATGCGATGAACTCTGGTGGCATTTCTTGGCTCAGTAGAATCTCTACTGCTTGCAGCGGATCCTCAAACATAGCCCACTTTCTCGTTGGAGAGATGCCTCGTGGAACAGTTTCGCTTAAGTAAATAGAATAAATAAACAAGTAAGCAAATAAACAAACAATGGGTTTAGAAATCCATTGTTTCACATCCGAGTAGGATGTCTTCTCATCTTTGGCTCCTGCTGCTAAAAAAAAAATCTGTGACTCACTGGTCCAGTTTCATAACCCACACACACACACACACACACACACAGAGTATGTTTGATTTCTGATCATCCGCCGGAGCTCCCACACACACACAGTTCTTTTTTTAACACATGCATTTATTATACAAACTCACACACACATATATATCTATATCTATCTATATATATATATGTGTGTGTGTATATCTGAAGGCTGACTGGCTGTAACCGCTTGGATGCTTTGGGACATGTTCAGCAATGTACTGTGGGCTTTAGGATATCGCACTGCAACGAATCCGTACGGAGGCGTTTGCTCTGCCTGCAATGTGCATAGAGAGGGTTAATTCGGTTAAAATAAAAGTGACAGCTCCCGGGGTGGTGGGGGGTGGGGGGGGGGGTGAGCCT